GGTGTGTGTCACATATACGTGTTTATGAAAGTGTTCTAGAGGGTGTGTGTCACATATACGTGTTTATGAAAGTGTTCTAGAGGGTGTGTGTGTGTGTGTGGGGGGGAACATCCGTTTACATGAAAGTGTTCTAGAGGGTATGTGTGACATATATGTGTTTATGAAAGTGTTCTAGAGCAGTGTTTCTCAACCCCCTTTCAAATCCACGAGGTTTCACAAAAACAAACAGAATATTCATATGACAATCGTAATGGTTTTTCATTATACTTCCACTTTAGTGGTCTGTGACAGTTTAGGAATGAAGTAAGCCAGTTCCTGGTATTGGAAAGTTGAAACGTACAGCCATAGCGTGTGTGAGAGGGACATACATGTGCCCATGTCAGTGCTCTAAAGTTGTGGTGCGGTGAGTTGGTAGGAGGATGTGCAACTATGACTATAGGAGCAAATAAAATATATCTGAAAGTATATTTTTAAAAATAACGTAGTTTTAAAAACTATCACACAAATATTTTTACTATTAAATGAATGAGTCTGCGTACCGGCTGCAAAACCAACAAGTAGAGCTGTATTCCGTGCTGATAAGTAAATAGAAAGACGGGCTACATAGCTGAAAAATTGTGTTTCACTCTCTTTTTTTTTCTCAGCATGGATTTAACCTCTTATACATACAAATTGTTTCGTAAAATCGTGCAGAAGTCTTCTCACATCAGGCATAATAGGAAATGTAATACTTTTTTTTCTTTCTGGGTAGTGGCTGTTGGTTGCACCAAAACACTTCACTTTGATCTTTACAGGGAAAAATTTGAAATCTGTAAATTACGAAACAGGGTAGTTGCCCTCCAAACCACTGATTGTTTTGCGTTATTTAATAAGTGGAACTGAGTTGACAGGTGCTTGTTTGTTTTGAATTTCATGCAAAGCTACATAGGGCTATCTGCACTAGCCATCCCTAATTTAGCAGTGTAAGACTAGAGGGAAGGCAGCTAGTTATCACCAACCACTGCCAACTCTTGGGCTATTCTTTTAATAATGAATAGTGGGATTGACCGTCATGTTATCATGCCCCCATGGCTGAAAGGGCAAGCATGTTTGGTGGGACAGGGATTTGAACCAGCGACCCACAGAATACGAGTTGAGTTTCCTAACCACCTGGCCATTGACAGGTGAAGCCAATCAATTGTCACTGAATCTGTTTAACTAATATCTCATTCTCCCATGCACTTAATTAAACCTACATTGTATTTATAGTTTTACCTTTATGGGTTTGTTATTTTTGCTATTAGCTAAGGAAGAGATTTGATTAATTCAGCATAAAATTGTCGTTTACACTGTTTAAGCATCAAAAGTGAAACGTTTAAAAATTCTATTTTATTAGAAGCATTCAAAAACTCAGGCAACAATACCTCTCTCTTAATGAGGGCACAGAGGTGCATTAGATAGAGTAAACCAGAAGCTATAATTATCATATTATAATGTTTATAAGCCAATGATAAGGAAATGTAGCCCGTTAGTCATGGCTAGATTCCATGCAAAACCTAATGCAACTGTTGATTGGATGGCTGAGATATAATGAGATTTTTTTTACATATTTGTCAGCTTGTTATTTCAAGTTTTGGACAAATTAATAGTTTTTCAAAAAATATGAATAAGTGTGTGTGTGTTATATATTGGCAACAAATGATCTCATGTTTCTTTGAATGACGACCAGAAGTAGGCAGACAGAAGAAATTGTTAAATGATGATAATAATGAAGAATAACAAATTGATGACTTTATAGTTGGACCGAGCACTTCCTAGATATCCACTCCTATTCCTCCTTCTGTTGGTAAACTGACCAAATTCGGGGGTGTGGGGGTTCCAACAATATTTAAAGGGCAAAGATACTTGCTAGAAAAGAATGTAACTGTTCTATCAAATTCGGGGGTGTGGGGGTTCCAACAATATTTAAAGGGCAAAGATACTTGCTAGAAAAGAATGTAACTGTTCTATCAAATTCGGTGGTGTGGGGGTTCCAACAATATTTAAAGGGCAAAGATACTTGCTAGAAAAGAATGTAACTGTTCTACCAAATTCGGGGGTGTGGGGGTTCCAACAATATTTAAAGGGCAAAGATACTTGCTAGAAAAGAATGTAACTGTTCTACCAAATTCGGGGGTGTGGGGGTTCCAACAATATTTA